AGGAGACAAAACTTCTCAACTCCGTTATTATTTTTCTCCCAAAGAATGACTGAAGGAACAAACCTGAGAAATATGTTCCACATCCTTTCCTTTCCGCGCCCCTCCCACACATGCACACACAGACACTCGCCACAATCTGTGCTGCTCCGGCGAGTTCCATGCGCTAAAGAAATACAAATTGAATAATAATTAGGAGGCCGTGTTTGTTTCTTGTCTTAGCACCTCGTACAGGAACCTTCCCGCTAAGTGCTGATATGTTTATATTGCTATTTCAATAATCCACGACTTCTCATCCTTTAAAAAGACAATCATTTCAATGGGGAATCGAAATCCTCCTGGTGAACAGTTCTGTCTGGGTTTTTCATTTGTTGTTAGAATTTTGTCCTAGCTCAGAAATAGCTTGTGTTCTGGTATTTTTAAGAGAAATGTTGGCAATTACTGCTGTCTTCTTGACAATTTTGGAGTGGGTTTCAGGCACTCAGCCTCTCTTGAATCAGATCATTACCCAACGATGCAGAAAAACGAGCCCAGTATTTGCTGCACTATGTGATTTCTGGAGTTAAGCTTCGACATAAATAAAGCTACTGTTTCACAATAGCATCTATGTATCTAAGGATTCTTTAAGTCAGATTTGTCAGCTTTATATGACAGAAAGATTGTTATAAGCTGTGGCATTCTAAAAGTAAAGGATTGCCTAAAGAAAACAACAACATAAACTCTAACAGGAGAAATAAACTCGTTCTGAGCATTATCTTAATAAAGTCATCAGATAAAACTTTGATTAAGTAATGGGGTTTTGATCTGTTAAAATACAACTTAATAAGTTTGAAACATAAGGGATGTAAACCAAGCACTGTTGTTTTTATTAAGTCAGTGATTCAGATTTTGTTTTGATTTCTTTGTTAGAGCTAGGTCTTCCTCTACTTCTAATTTAAAATGTTATTATTGTAGAAATTTCCTTGAATCAGAGAAGTATGAAATAACCATTTCCAAACCATGTGGTGGTGGTAGTGGTGATGATGATGATAATAATAATAATAATAATAATAATAATAGAGTTATTTTCTAGGAATCTACTTTCTATTCAGGTAAATTTTAGGTAAAATGCAAGACAGCTAATGAGCTTTTTATAGAGAATGTTGAAGTAATTTTGGATTATTTAATTACCTAAAGGAAAACTGAACTAAACTAGTTTTCTTTGGGTTAAATAAATTATAAACTTAATTTTGGGCCACAATAATTCTCTTTATCTCAAAAAGCATTTTATCAGTCAAGAGAAGACAGGGAGAAGTGTTTTAAGCAAGTGTATGAAGTCTTTAAGTGTTTATGGGAGTAGAAATGCTGCATTTTATTTTGTTAGTTGTGGTACAAGACCAAAAATTATAAGCTCTAGTTACTCCTAGAAACTCTTGTTGTGTGCAGTAACAATGTTGACAACGCTCAGTGCTTTGTAATACAAATTTCCTACAATACAGGCACATCTCAGTTTTGTAGGATTATTTCCAGGAAGTACGAAAAGTGTTGATCCCAATAACAAGTGGTAAAACATGGGGCTCTAGCCTCCAAAAGTTCAGGTTTGGAGACACTGAGTTGCTTGATAATGTTTGTTTTTTTGCTTGTTTGCTTTAATTTCGCTTTGGTTATTTGACCTGCCTCATCATTTTAGTATCAAACTCTACAGTGTTTTTAATCCCTGAGTTGGTTTCAGTGGGTTACTCAGAGGAGTACCAGCAAGTTGGGTATTTCAAATATTTAATGTTCCAGTAGAGTCTTGTGAACTGAGAAGAAAACAGAAGAGCTTTTTAGGTCCTTATAACCCTTGGGAAGCTTTCAGTATGCATTTCTAAACCCAGGTGGATTTTCCATAAATTTTGGAAGTTTATTTATCCACCCAAACTAAGTTCCACTAGTTATTTTTGCATTGAGTCTTCCTTTCCTTGGATCTGTCTAGATGTTCCTTTCTGTGTTTGTTTTCTGTGCTCATCTGGATCTCACTGCTTGAGTTCAGAAATGTTCTGTGCTCATCTAGACACAGATTGGTATCATCACATTACTAAGTCCTTCTGGGCAGCCCTAGCTTGAAAAGATTTTTATTTAACTAGACTAGTGGAAATTTTCTCAATATTTTCAATACTGCATCTCAGAGTGCTAAATTTTCAAACAAAGCTGGTGTTCCTCAAGTGACAGCCCTAATGATACTTTTATATTGCAAAATTCAAGGTAGGTCTTTTTAAACTGTGCATCACAATAAATACAGGTGATAAAGCCTTAAAAAGTCTGGCTAGTTCCTTAGAGAGTCTCTAACTTTACCTTTTTTTTATGATTTTGCATAAAATAACAGATTGTGGAAGTTAAGCAGTCAGTCTAGCTGTCTACCTGCATGAAAGAAGATTCTGTCTCCCTTAAATCTACTGACTGAGGGGTTTATTGGGCAGAAACCCAAACTAAACAAAAACCCACGCAGTAATTAATCTCAGTTTTGTTCCTAGTTTAGAAAGAACTGACTGTCCATTCATACAAATGAGGAAAAGTTCTGAACATTGAATACTAACGAGTGGGACACCCAAGGGCCTGAAGGGCAGTGACCATGCAGATGGGGCAGGCTGTGACCAGCCTGGATCCACTCCAATCCCTTCCTACTCCCAGTTCAGGCCTTTGGGGCATTGCCAGCAGATCTGGGTTTAGGCTTGGACATCCTCTGTGCGTGTTTCAGCACCAAGAGTCTGCAGACATGAAACGTATGGAGATGAACAGATGCAACTGTTCCATTCTGACGGCGTTTTCAACCTGGGTTTGCTTCCTGAGGACTCACTCATTTGTTTGAATAGGTGGGATCACGGTGGAGGAAAACACTTAGCACAAAGTGGAATTTCCCTGGGATGATGAAATAATGCAGTGCTTTCAGGGTGGTGGGCAGTACAAGCCGTAGATACATTTCCCTCTCCCGTCTCTCTCTCTTTCTCAACAACAAATTTCACCAGAGTCACAGGAACCCTAAAAGGCAGCGGATATCCCCTTGTTTGGAGATTTCCAAACCAGCTGGGTCTCTCTTGTGTTTAGTAAATTAATTTTTTAAATGAATTCTCATCAAGTTTCTAATTATAATATCTTTAAACTTAATGTTTGTATTTCTGATGAAAGACAAACATTTTGGGGGCAGTCACAAGGGACATGAATAATTTCTTTAGAAGCTTATCTAATTAATTATATTTCTCTGTAATGTCTTTAAAATTTGAACTGCCATCATTTCATTAATTTAGATAAAAGTAAATCTTTAGTGTTTAAATATGACACTAGTGCTGAGAATTCTGATAAGCTTGAGATTCACTGTCTGTATTTTTATTAAGTGATGATTTCAAAAGTGTTTAAAATATTTGGAATTCATGATTGCATGTTAGGTTTTATTTGGTTTCAAATACACTATTATTTCATGGCATAAGTGTTCCCCTCACCTGTTAGTAAGTAAGATCATAAGATGCAAAGTGGCATAAATATTGCTCATATAATATTTTGGTGAGTGTTTCTTTTTCTTCTGTAATATTCTTTCTGTATTAAAACTTTCGTCTCCTTAAGATGGAAAACATTAAAATCCTGATGTGTGGTGATCCTCCATGTCCTATCCAGGAGGAATTTTGATATTTCAGATGATCCCAGAGATATAAAGCCTTTTATAGCATCGGTATATTTGAGTTTGCATTTTTTAAATTGTTATTTTTGTGCCATTTCAATGTCAGTAGAGCAATTGAAATTTGCACATTTAGATTTATGGGTGGAGCCTTCCATCTTGTGGAAGTCTTTAGCACACAAAGAGGAAACAGGGCAGTAAGATATCAGGTTTGATTAGGTCACAACAGCATTAACCCTGATGGAAACCACAAAACCCACAGTGTATATGGTTATTCTGCCTTTATTCATCTCTGTCACTTGTAGAGCTGCCACCAGTTGGTCCCTGACCACTAGTGGAGCCTGATCTTCTTGTACTTTGTAGTCATTCGTACTGAGATGTGCACTGAATATTGAGATTTGTCATTGCTGATGATACAAATGAGGTAGAATGCCACGGCTGGAAAATAATATTCACCAGGAGATGAACTTTGACACTAGGGTTGAGGTACCTGTGGAGGTGTGCATGTGCTTTGGAACAGTTTATCAAACTATCCAAATCAGCTGGTGACCTCAGTTTAAACTGAATTCATGAGCTTGCTCCTGGAAAAATAATTTAAAATATTTATAATCATCTGTAAGCAAATTAACGATGCTGAATTGAGGGAAAGACACAGGCAGCTGCCTCTGAAAGCCATTCAAAGCTATTCAAAAACTGTTGGTTTAGCTTTTTTTGCCTTACAGCTCATTCTACTTTTCACAGTGATAAGCAATTTTATGCAAAGTAGCTCTATATTATAAATAATGAGTTGTTACTTCAGTGAAAAAAGAAGTTCACAGGTCACAGTTTTGGTCACTGGTAGATTATCAAAGTACTTTAATAGTCCAAATTACTGTCTAGTTTTCCTCCTGTCAGTGCCCTATCTATCTTTTTCCCAATGTTGGTCAGTACTTTAACTGTGTTTGCAATGAAGAAATAATAGATGTGCAGTCAGAACAATTAATGGAGTAAAATGTGCTGTTCTCTGCCAAAGATAAACAAAGAAATAAATCTCTGCTGTTTGCAGCCTTCCCTTTTCCATATATAATGGACTTTATCAATAAAACAATACAAACTTCATCAAAGAAAAATCTTACCAATTTAGACCAAGAAAGGTCTTCATTGAGCTAATCTCCAACAAATGCTGTTTGCAGCAGGGATCTATTTATTCTTTTCAGCCACAAAGCCCTGGCCATCCTTCTTCAGCTGGCGCTCGAACTCCACGATCCGTTGTAGATGAGGCAGCCCAATTAAGCAGGGGTGGGAGACAGGAAGAGCACAGTCACAGTGCCAGCGCTGCTGTATTTAATTCCCAATTAAATATGCTTACCTCGGGTCCTTTGGTTTCTCTCCTCAGGGAACCACAGCCAGGTGTCCCGGGTACCTGTTGCTATCAAAGTTCTCGACGTGAACGACAATGCCCCTGAGTTTGCATCAGAGCACGAGGCCTTCCTGTGTGAGAATGGCAAGCCTGGACAAGTGAGTATCCCACGTTTTTGTGGTGTGAGACAGGGCTGGAGTTTCTCCCTGTCACCTTATGTCATCTTTATTCCCAAAATGGGTGCCCATGTGTTTGTGCTAACAGCTCTTAGCATTAACTGAAGATAAACCCATGATCACTTACATGGGATGTCTTCTGTAATTTCACTTTGGTGGGATGTCTTCTATAATTAAACAAACTTTTTTTCCCTTAAGGTATAGTTTTAAATTAAAGGTGAGTACTTTGGGACAACATCCTGAAAAAATCCTAAGTGTCTTTAAGCTCCCGATGTCACACTCTGTGTGATGGAGCTCGACACTTTGTAAGTTCATGTGTGTTAGTAGCTGAAAGTATAATCCAACCTGAATTCCAGTTCAATTATTGACCTGCACTGCAGCTGCTCCCAGGTATGATTTAGAATAAACAGTTAAAACAATAAACCCACATCCCCTTGACCTTATCTCAGTTATAATCTCTATTCAGTTCTTACTTTTTTATGACAGTTGGGGAAAAAATAAGGCAGCACACCAGAACTTGATGGAAAGTGAAGTAAATTGTAACTGTGTTTGAAGTTGATGTTGGAGAAGGGAAGTTCAAGTTTTCATTATATTAAAAAATGTTATTACCTTCTTCATTTAATGAAAAAAAGCTTGGTGAAGAAACTCACACAACACTCTCCAAGGTGAGGTAAACAGCAACGTGTCAGAAGCAGGATTTAAACTGTTTAGTCTTTTTCAAAGAAATGAAGCAGATTTGTTCAAAGGTATTCACTTTGAAGGACAAATGTACAGAAATAGGGAAGACTATTTCATATGCCACCTAAATGACAAGGTGAAGATTCAAGAATATGCACAGACATTTAGAAAGTAATGCAGTGTAAATGAGATGTAACTTTTGTCCAGCAACAGAAACACTGGGTGTTACAATAATTCAATGTTTTTAATCTTTGCCATTTATTTCTAGATTGTGACATTTTATGTAAATAAACAGCAGCTGACAGCATGACATGGCTTGTTAATCCAACTATTCCTGTGTCTCATGTGGGTGTTAGACATTAAATGCACTGTTCTCCAAAGAAGGTTACCTGACAAAAGAGTTAGAAGTTATTTTCTTTTTAGTAGTATTAAATGACAACCTGTATAGCAGTGTATGACAACCCAGTTCTACATACAGGATTGAATTGTTACAGAGGATGATTTGACTTCTAGCACCCCTTTTTGTTTAGTAAAATGGTGTCAAAAATGTGCCACTAAGGAATGAGAATTCTCTTTATCCACTGAAGAGGAGATGTGCCCTCATGGGCAGACAGTCCTGTTACTGTTGGCAATTCAGTTCTTGTAGCTCAGAGTGGATTTCTGTTTAGCTCGGGGTGGATTTCTGATGCTGAGTAGTTGCATTTTCCAGGATAGATTAAATCCTAATGACTAAGCCTTTATCCAGGACTCAGTGAACCTCCCTAAAATCAGAACGTTCTGTTGTACAGTGTTTTCTGACTGTATTTATCTAGGTATTCCTAACAAATTTCAGGTGGTTTAAGAGATGGTGAAAAATGTTCACATTTCATTTGGAATAAAACAATAAATGAGATGATTAAGAGTCAGCAGGTAAAAGAGGCTTTTGTTTAAGCACTTACAGAAAACTTTCATTAAAGCATGATACTCTTTATCTACCATTGCCTCTTACACTCTTGATCTGATGGCAGATGTCACTCTTGAGCATGAATCCTCATGTGAACTTTACAGATGGTTATTAAATATTTGGCTGCCAGCATGGATGAGGTTGCACTGATCCTGTAATTTATTCTGTGTTTAAACAAATAGCACTACTGGAACAGTAACCAGGCCAGAATAATCACCAAGGTTAGGTTCTGAATTGAAGTTGTCATTCAAAAATCATCAGCTCCTGTAAAGATTTTAGTAACTCCACTGCCTTATTGTATTTTCTTATGCTTAATTCTATATTCAAGTTTTAAAAAAAGTCCTATCAATAAGTTAGGATGTAGAATTCAAGAAACTACATATATCTCAGTTATGAAATAGGTGATATGAAAAAGATACTACTAGTAGCAAAAGCCTAATTTGGATGGTTGTCCAAAGCTTAAACTCAAATGTTACACATGCAGGAAAGGTGCAATTGTCTTAAGGTATTCCTGTCTGTTGACATTTGCAGTTCCATTTAAAGCTAAGTTTAAATCAAATTTAATTTACCATAAATGAGATTATATTTGAACCATTGGTAAAACCTTATGTGCAGCCACTAAATACATTGCACTATCTATTCCAGTTCACTTTCTAAGTGTTCTGTTTTAGGTTCTGATATAATTGCAGTAACAAGTACAGCTGCTAGTGAGGTGACACAATGCATTAAAAACTCTTGATGTGTAACGCTGCCAGATGCATTTTCCTTGCCTTGACCTACCTCCGAGTAAAGGTACCACAGGCTGATAGGAGAGGAAAGGGAGGGAGAAGGAAGTGTATTTTTTATATTTTTTATGCATGTATTTGTGTGCTCCTTGCCCATTTTTACACACAACAGAGAGTTGCCAGAAGTGTTTTTTGTCAGGTTTTTTTTTTTCTTGGGGGGGTGGGGAAAGGGAACAACCCCCAAAAATTTGAATGTACTGTTACAGTACCTCAAAATTAGCCACAAATCACCTCTTGCCTTTTCCTATTACCCCTTAATTTTGCATAATTGCAGTTACTAAAACCAGAACATTCATGGTTTGCTGACTATAGCTGTGCTGTTGGTTGTTCTCCAGCACAGTAAAATTATTTTCCTGTGGACCTAGAACAAAACTTCTGCAATGTTGAGTAAGAAAAGTGCCTCACTTGCTATTTCCCTAGTCCATACTCAGACTTTTCCAGGGAAGTGCTGTTTGCTGGAAACAAAGCTACAAAATTTTCACTTGAGTAGTGCAGACAGCGATATATGAGAGCTGAAGCCAGCTTTAAACCGGAGCAATATAAAACTGAGCACAGTGCTCCTCCAGCCTCCCACAATTTCTCTCTATTTTATTCCCTTCTCCTATTAGACTATTTTTCTTTCTAATGGGGGAAATCTTCAGGTAGATCTTTGCCTTTTCAGCTAGAGCCATCCCTTTACTGCCAGAACCTGCATCTGACTTTTCAGGCAAAGTTAAAATTGCTCTGTAGTGACTCTAGTCTTACCAGGTTTTGAGTCTGCAAAATAACGCAGAAATAACTATGAACAGCAATGGGACTGCAAAAGCTTTTCCAGAGTTGGAAGATCAGTCTGATTAAAATTAGAAAAATGTTTGTTAGTGATGAAGAACCATTCTTAGTGAGGTTAACAAGTTGCATCACAAGAAAAGTCTTTTAAACAGTACCATGTACTAAAATTGCATGTAGATAGCTATGATGTGTTGAAAATAACTTTTTTTTTTCTATTTATCCTTGTGTATATTATTTCAGGCGCATGTGGCTTTGTAGAACTGCAATGCAAACCTACAAATTAGAAAGTCAAGCTGTCCTAAGGGACCATTTAACTATTCATTACAATCCAGTGCTGTCTGCTAAACAAAATATGCTGCTTTGCTAAGTTTCTGCTAAATGTATGTACAGAATTAAATGCATGCATGAAGTATTAATACAACATCAAAGTTGGAATTTTACATGTAAGAATTTCAGAAATTTCAAGACTGAACAGCCAAAGGGTTATTAACTTTCACTGGATATGTAGTGAAAAAAAAAATCAGTTCTTGTCTTCTTTATTGACCAATTTCTCTGTTGTGGAAGACCTTTGGGGTGCATGTTGTTACCAGGAATGAAAAGACATCTGTAGTGGGCAAGAGGAAAAAGGCACCTGGGCTCTGCCAGCCCTGGGGTGGCCACAGGACCAGGGCAGTGCCCATCTCCTGTGCTGGCCCTGCTGAGGGATCTCCAGTGCTGGGGGCAGTTTTGGGACCCTCACAAGAGAACCCTGGAAAGGATGGAGTGTGTCCAGGGAAGGGAACAGAGCTGGGAAGGGAAGGGGCTGGAGCCCCGGGAGGGGCTGAGGGAGCTGGAAAGGGGGTCAGCCTGGAGTAAAGGAGGCTCAGTGGGGCCCTTCTGGCTCTGCACAACTCCTGACAGGAGGGGACAGCCGGGGGTCGGGCTGTGCTCCCAGGAACAGGGACAGGAGCAGAGGGAACGGCCTCAGGCTGGGCCAGGGCAGGCTCAGGGTGCACACCAGCAGGAATTTCCCCACGGAAAGGCTGCTCAGGCCTTGGCAGGGGCTGCCCAGGGAGCTTTGGAGTGCCCATCCCTGCAGGTGTCCCAGGAAGGGCTGGAGGTGGCACTCAGGGCTGGGGACAAGGTGGGCATCGGGCACAGCTGGGACTCCATGGGCTGGGAGGGCTTTTCCAACCTCAGACATTCTGTGACTTTGTGATTCTCAGCCATGTCGTGAACCACAAATGAAGAGTTGGAGAATTGCCTCAGTAATATTCCATTGCATGACCACACAACACGGAGTAGTAAAATATGCCTATCAGCACACTAATAAAAACTTGGAAATGAGAATTACTGGACTTTTCTGACCCCTGTGGAGTAAAAGATACCACAGTTTAATATCACTGCATATATATTATGTTTTCTGTTGTGTTTTCTATTTTTTTTATTTAAAGAACTTATCTTAATGCAAACGCACAAAGAAATAAGGTTGCTATGGGAACTCTAACTCTTAATTCTGTGATGTGTGCGTGTAACACAACAAACGTAGCAGTGCACTAAGCCTGACTTTTGCATATAATTTTTGGTGAATTTTCAGAAAAAGAAGGATATTATAAACAATGTAGGAAATGGATGGAATACTGGAACATACAAAATATTATAACAGTCTGATAAACTGCACCTGTTACCTGCACTTGCCCTTCCAGATTTCACTGTGCCATTATCCTTTTTCCCTATTGCTTTCCCATTCTGTCAGTGTTTGAAAAATTGAACAGCCATAAAATATATCTATCTAAATATATCTGCCTTGTTCAGGATCCCAGCCCAAGCTGCACTTCCCTGTGATGATGAATTACTGGTACCTGCTCCAGCCCTGGGCAAATCACAGTGGGTGCTTTAGTGCCTGACACCTCTGCAAAAAGAAAGCTGAAAATCCTTCCCATCTGCTAATGGCTCCAGCTCTGCACTGGGGCAGACAGAGGCTACTTAGATATTTTTCCACTGTTTGTATTTTTTCCACTTTAGGATCCGTTATTCAGCTTTTAAATTGAAGATCTACCTCATAAAGTAAAAAAAGCAAAAGTTGAGCTAGGCCTATTTTTTTGTCCATCTCTTCTAATAATACATTTGTTTGAAATCCTGTCGAGGTGTCCACCTTGATAGATGCAGTTATCAAACAAAAAACAAAATACCCCTATTTATGTGCTATTTAAGCAACCTATTTTTTTTTCAGTAGATTTTTGATAATAATTATGATAAAGCTGACCTATCCAGAATATGATTAGGCTAGGAATTAATTGTCTCACATTTCTTCCTAAGCTGAGTTGTCCTACAAATATCTACTTGCTCAAACATTTTTTTGCATACATAATTTCAGATGTTTATGTTTTGGTGTTGATCCCTGTGGTTATCTAGTAAAGTTTTGTTCTTTCCTTGACTCTTGAAGAACATAAATAGGATTTTGACTATTGTCATACATATAACACATACATACTAATAGTCCTTGTGGTTAAACCAGAGCAAAATGTTAGTTATTGGCATTTTCTTAGGGAAATGTGGAAATTTTAAAATAAAAGCCTATGAATTTGGAGAGCATCAAACCCTGCTTCCATTTTTCATTCTATACTTTAAATTTTTTTGTGATTCCTACTTTGAATTTAATTGTACAAGAAATTATTGGTGCATTGCTTTAGACATTGCAAATAAATACATAAGACAATTGTTATTGGATTCAATGGACATGGAAAAGGTCAATAATTCTAATTAAATTTCTTATGAACCTCATCCAGCATGAGCTAACTAGCTCTGAAAGCCAGCTCTGAGGGTGGGAAATGGATCCATGGCTGGTTTTGTTTCTGTTTCTCTGGAAAACCTTTGGCATCAAAAGCAAATGTGCCAACTATTTTAAAATTCCCAACGAAACAAAACAATCACAAAGAAACCCAAAAATATCAAACAAAAAACCCCAAACCTCCTGGTTATTTTAAAATAGTGTTTATTCCCTTCATAGTCTTGTGCAACTTGGTATGATTTCAAGATGATCAGCTGCAGTACCTGAATAGTGTAAAAGGTAAAAATTGTAAATGGAGGTAAATCCACTTCAGACACTGCAGCTGATCATGTAAATCATATGAAATACTTCATACAAAGTTACTTGATTATTCAAAGTTATCTAAACTACCCAAAGCACTCTTCTCACCTAATTATCTTGCATTATTCTAGGAATCATTAATTTATAATGATGTTATTAAAAAACAAACAAGCATATCTTCCTAGTACAGGAATAAGTGAGGTTTTATTAGAATTAAGGGGAAAAAATACAGCCCTCAATATTTTCTCTTTTTTCTTTTTTTTTCATTTTTGATTTTTTCCTCATCTAAAATTTCACATCCAAATTAATTTAAAAAATAATAATTATTCTATGAAGTGAAATGTGAGGTAGGGGAAGGAGAAAGGATTAAAGGTATATTATGTATCCAAGTCCACTGAGAAGCCTGGTTGTGTAAATGAAAGCTTGCCATAGGCAATATGAGTGTTTCTGAAGCCCAATTTTGCTTTTTTTGTTTAATAATAATTTATTACTAGTCTAAATCAGGAGCAGTTTCTGCTGGCCTCTCTTACCTGCCTCTCCTTATTTGCTGGCTCTTTGGTCTGGAAACATTTTAAAAGGGGCAGATACAGTTCCTCTTCCCAAGGTTTTCAGCCTAAGGTCTATAAAAGCCTTGTAGAGTTATAAATTATCTTTTTAAATCTGGCATGGAGAGAAATGAAATGTGTCCAATAAAAACCATTTTTTTCAGCACTGTCTGTTTATCAGGAGTGTGAAAACTTAATGAGCCCATTTATGTTGCAGGTAATTCAGATTGTCAGCGCTGTTGACAAGGATGATCCTAAAAATGGGCATTATTTCCTGTACAGCCTTCTTCCTGAAATGGTCAACAACCCAAATTTCACCATCAAGAAAAATGAAGGTAAATAGAACAAATATAAAATGTGTATCTCAACAAGTTACTTTAAAATTGTTTTGTTGATTTCCAGTTACTTTACCAGTGTGTCCTTTGTGCAATTAAAATGTAAATAATCTGCTGAATGGTACCTTCATTATATCACTTAAGCTATTTCCAATAACTTTAAAGTAGATAAGAAGCAAGTAAAATGAATGTGGAATTTAGATCCACAAGATAGCTCACTGGCTTAAATAAAATGAAAGCTTGGATTCACTGCCTGCATTATTCCTATTAATTTGAAGTTCCAGAGATATGGTGCAAGATGAAACTCTGAAACTATGTTGATAAATAAATGTTGATTCCTACAATGACTGTTTATGGATGGGAACATAAAATTAAGTATTTACTAAATCTCCCAGAGAAAGCACCTTTTCAGCCTGTTTGTTGTGTGTATAAAGGTTCTGAAGTATTTTGGTGAGGAACTTTTGCTAGAAAGACAAATCCCTTAGGTCAGCAAAGCCCAGAAGGGCACTTTGAGTCCCTGTGTTTGGAGCACTTCTGGGAGGGCAAAATACCATTTTGCAGGGCTGTAGAAGGGACCATTCACGTGTGATGGAAAAGAAAGACCCATTAATATTGCTGGGCAATAAATTTATACTGATCCTATTCTTTGGCACACAAATCTGTTTGAAGGTCATTGGAGAGAAGGAGCTAGGACTGATCCCAAGAATGCTATAAGGAGTGCTCCATGTGTTTGTACTTGAATATTCAGCAAAGTTGTTCTATCTTGGCTCTTTTTAATAAAGCACACCCTGCCAGGAATTCTAGTCAAATTCAGTTTCTTATTTGAAATTGTAAGAAAGTAAAGCCCTGTTTAGTCCATTACTAATAGGAAGATGAATGTGTGTGCTGTATGTGCAGGGGTGTAAAAACAATACACGAAATGCCAGTTAAAGAGGAAATGCTGTTTGCATTTTTTTTTATTCTATCTGTTCCAACCTAGCAGCATGATGACACTGTTTTGCTAAATGACACTGCACCTAAATTCTTAAATCTGCTTAAATATATTTTCCTTTTCTTTAGATGTGTTTTTCTCTTCTAGCATTCACAAAGTGTGTCTACTTATATCTCTATTTTCTTGTAAATGAGTCTCTGTGTGTTTTCTGGAGAAGATAAAACAAATCTCTTCAAAATGCATTTCATAATCATCAGCAGTGTAACACAAATTGAATTAAGCATCCTAAATGTGAGGTGGTTTGCTTGGCACAGCATGACAAAGTAAAAAAGATCTTAGCATTTCTTTTCATGTTTAAATACTGAGCTCATGTTGCTAACTACCTTTGTCCTTCCAATCTGTTACCTATTTAAGACCCACTCCTGCTCCTACTCACAGACAATGGCAAAATGAGTCCTGAGCTGAGTGGGAGTGAGGAAACTTTCTATGTAACAAGGTTCAGAAAAGTAAGTCAAATTTTCTTAAATCATTGCCTCTCAGTTTTATGCAGTTTTAAATGTGTTTGAATCAGTTAAATGCGAAAATCCTCTTAAAACAACCACCTGAAATCTCTTGAAATTAAAAATCTGCTTGAAGAGACTTTTCTGATTTAATCCTCCAGTATTCAATAATAAAATTCCAACTATGCATGCCATCCTTGTCTATCAAGGTTGTTCAGTCAGCAGTGCAGTGCATGGCTGATGCTAGATGATGATCTGCCACAGGAAGCAAATATTCCTGTCAGAGCCAAAATCAGTGTATCATTTGGCTGAGGTGAGTTTTATGTCCTTTAAACATCATAGATCTTCAGTAACTCTTTATTTAGCTATGCCACTTAAACAATGAACTTGACCATGACTCTGTCTTGTATATATCTGCCAGATAAGCATGAGTGATTATTCATGTTGAAAGACACCAATATCCCTAAAAAAAACCTGAATTCACAAGTGAAATTTCTCCATTTTTTTTTGTATTCCTGAATGTCTGGGCAGTCCATAACCAAGCTGGTGTGGTGTAGAACTGTAAGGAAATGCCTGTAACAAACCCTCTTCTCCTTTCTGGAGATCAGATCAATGCTCAACACAGTAAAGCTTGGAACAGAAAAACTTTTCATCACACTGGTGGCCAAAATCCTTGACATCTTCCTGACTGTGTCTCAGCCTCAATTTCCTCCCAGATTAATTAATTCCTGCCAAATTAATTCTTCAAGGCAGCAGAAACTTTATGGCTGCCGAAGAAATGCTGTCTACTTGTGAATACCTCACAGGGACTGCATTTTCTGAGGAAGCCTCCTGTAGAAAGCCAATTTTTACTTGCTAAATTTAGCACATCTCTTTATCTAAATAATTTTTAATTCCCCATCTTTCTTCAAAATTCTCTTGAGGGTTGAGCTAAACAGAAGTACTTCTCCTCAAGAAATGATATTGCCCTTTTGGGTTCTCTGGTGCTTTAGGTAACTGTGTGGCATTTGGCCTCCACATAATGGTGACACTGAATGTGGTGACATTGGTGTGTCAACACCTGCCAGGAGAGGTCTGCAGCTTTTTCTCCTGCCAGGAGAAAAAGCTGCAGTGCCCTCTTTCTGTCCCTCCTGCCAAAGAATACATAAGATGCCTGTGATTTGGAATGTTGCCTTCCTGTGTAGAACATAAGCATAACCATTAATCAATTTAGCTTGTTGCACACAGGCTGATTCTGTTGTTCAAACCTTCCAGATCACCCTAAGGCAACTTCCCCTGATAGTCAGTAATTAACTGTGCTGCTGACATGCACTGCAAATATTATGATTGGCCACGTTGTTGAGAAATGTGTTTAACTAGGTGACACAACAGGTGTCTTCATCAGGAACCACACAAAAAAAAAAAAAAAAAAAACAAAAAAAAAAAAAAAAAAAAACCCAAACATTTCTCAGAAGATTTTATTACATATATAAAAGTTATGCTGTGCTCCCAGCAGAATCTGTGCCTTGAAATGGTGCACTGGTGTTCTTCATTTGCTTGGTTTGTTGAATTTCCATATTAATTTCCCCATATTAATTTATTAATTTTTATATTATTTTTCCATATTAATTTCCATATTATGAATTTCCATATTCCTTCTGTAGACAAGATACCCAAAACTGTAGAGGCTGTGGTGCCTTTCTGATGTAAATAATGTAAAAAATGTAAATTTAAATGCCATCATGCATCTCACTGAATATCTGTAGATCATCTCTTACTTTCCATATCTCCTGATGCTTTTCTTCTGTCCTTTTGTGAGCTCAGATGTCCATTACTGGTGGGGTTTGTAGGTTTAGTGCCTTGGGCTCCTGGGCAGTGAGTGATAATCCAAATCCAGGCAATCATGCCCTCTCAAGCTGTAATCAAGGCATGCTGAGCACTTGGATTGCCAGGTGCAAAAACCTTTATCCCCTCTCAAGAGAAATAATAGAGTTATATAAAAGAAAATATACAAGAAGTTAATGCTACATGAAAATCATGTCATGTTTTCTGTGTTGGACCTGTGACTAAACCTGTGACTCTGTGACATAACAAGTCCCTGACTGCACAAACTCCTGACTGAATCTCTGGGCACGTTTCACGTGCTTTTGTGCTGGGTTTTCTGCATAGGAGCAGAAACAGGGAAAAAAATGAAAATCCATGTTTTGGGTGGTGTGTCTGAGAAACTTCTAACCAGAAAAACCTCAAATTTCTGATGAAAATATCTCATGTTTAGACAAGTGTTGATACACTCTAGCAATGTGTTGTAGACTGCCTGGAATTAACCCTTCCAAAAAAACTGTAGGCTCACAATAAATGACAAAAAACTGACAGGAATCTAGACAACTGATGAGGATTTTGTACTGTCATGGCATCAGAAAACTGCAATGAGACCTCTGGAAATAGAATTAGAATTTGTTGACAGCCTTTTTTTTCAGGTGAATGGTCTTCACAGAGCGTTACCTAAAATCTTCTGCTGCATCCCAAACAACCCTCTCACAGCAGTACCTGTTTTCAGCATTGACTCCTTCAGGTTCCCTTCGATTGCTCAAGTGAGAACAGAATTCTGTGATAGGAGCATTTTCACACATGCAAACATTTTGATATGCTGCCAGTGCAATTTTTACTGTCAAAAACTACCAAACACATCTTTGCCATAAAGAGACCTAAAGTTTTTCCCATGAGAAGTTGGCATTGCTATTCCATTTTTCTGATGCCAGAATCTGTTTGCTAATGGAATAAACCCCAAACTGAACATTCCACAGTGCCTTTGGATGCAGTAATTCTTCTGACAGGAAAACTGGCGCATCTTTCCTGGATAAATGGGATATTCCATACTTTTTGTAGGGCTTATGTAGCACAGCAGTCCTGGGGTTGACTGGCCCATGGGTAGGGTTTACCTTTGGGTTAAGAACCTTACTGGCATGAGCTCATATTCCTGCAGAAGTCCAACAGCCTGATTTGGCATGTAATAGGCTGGTTATCAGTGACCAGCCTCCTCTCTCCTCAAATATTCAGCGTCCATCTGGCAAGCTGAGCTCTGAGTTTGGTCCTGACTCCAGTGAGTGCTTAGTAAAATTTTGGTTTTGGTTTTTGTTTTGGTTTGTTTTTTTTTTTAGTTGAAGAATTATATATCTGCCTGAGTGATGAACTGTTCTGTTGGTTCTCTCTAACAAACTAATTTTTTTTTCTCAGTTACACTTAGTCTTTTACATCTATGATACATATAACAGCTTCAAGAGTGATCATGTTTAAATGTGAATTTCTTTTGTTCTTTCCTTCAAGTTAAATCTTGCTTATGTCCTCCTTGCGCTGCCTTGAAAGTGCAGGCACTCTGTCGGGTGTTTTAAAGGAAATGACCTGATATTATCACTTCAATCACTGCCTTGCATGCCTTTGTATATTATGGATTATTTTATATTTCATCACCTCTTTACCATTAGAAACCAAATATTTCTAAACTTTCACAATAGCTGAGGAAAACAATTACATGCAAGCACTTTTAGATATCCCAAATAATAAGACAAATTATTATCACTTTTTTTTTTTGC